ACTTTTGATCTGATCCTTTTGCCAACCAGATCAACTGGCACAATCCATGACGCATCTGTGCTGACACCACCATCCCTCTACGTTAATGATTGGTGACGATTATGATTATGATGGTGGTAGTGGTGGTGATAACGATGACCATATGTATAGCCGTTTTGTACAAGGGTATACATTTCGATATATGTGTTGTTTTCTGCTGGGGAGGGAGGTAGGATTTCCTGGCTAAACGGTCGGTTTTGCTGATCGCCGATTGTGAACGCAGTATACGCCGAGAATCCTTAAACATTAATTGAAAATGTAATAGTTAAGAGAGGAGTGTGAATTGAGGCGATTGCTCGTGTTGAGGGATGTGGGCGTGTATTGGTGAAAAAGAAGCAGAACGAAGAAGTCTAACTTCATTATAGTCAGTCACTGCACTTGTATAGTGGGCATGTTCGTGAAGTTCAGGTGGGTCCTCAACATCCGCTCGGATTGTTTGGTTGAGGTTGCCTCTTCTGGAAATTTGGCTCAAGACCCTAATCGCAAGGGAACGGTAGCAAGCAAACCTATTTAATGACGGTTCACGGTCGCCGTTTTACGACCCGCGCCCACAGCTCCGTTTTATGACTTAGCCCGACGGCGAAAGCAGTAGCAAATGGTTATCAATGAAGGCATCCGTCTATGGGGCAGCTGAAAACGTTCTCGGATTCACTCAGCGGCACTACAGTGATCGGATCAGCAGCAGAAAAAGCTTACAGCTGTCTGTCCAGAGGGGGTGAACTACTGTCACGCTTTTGCGGCACTTTTGCGGTACTTACTGGCACCGTGATGTTCGCTTACTGGCTTAATTTTGTCTAGATTTTAAAATTATATCACTGAAGACTGCTTTTTTTTTATTGTTTTACTTCATTATATTTAGCAACGCAAGTTGATTTCTATGTGTATCTTTTCCTATTCTGTATTGTCGTTTAACGTTTCGACATGATCACTAAATACCGCAAAAGCACCCCAAAGTGTGGTGTGTAGTTTATCCCCTGTCCAGACGGCTCGAGATTGCTCCCGCAACGATGCTTCCTTCCGCCAACTCCGAAAGCTGACAGCAAAATCGGCTTGGGCTGACCGGCGGAAGTATTGGTCTGAAACAGTGACTGGCATGATGAAGCACGCCTGAAATGTTAGTGAAGCTCGAAAACTCGACCAAATTATCCGCCAAGTTAGTGGTAAGCCCTCGACACCTCAGATGTTAGTAAGGACGCATAGTATCATCCTTCACGACCGATTTCTACGTCACAACCATGGACTGTTTCATTAAAAAACAAATTTATGTGCGATCTTCCTACCAAATAAAACTCTCTGTTGAAGATATTGTCGGATAATAGGACAAATTTAAGCGAGAGCTACCTGCCGTCAGTCACCGTACCTCCAGAATTCACGGTGCACTGATTTGGCAAATAAGCCACGGTCGGTGAACGTGCATCCGTCACTGTTAATATTGCCGATGGAAACCGGCAACATAGCGAGCCCGTGGCCTTATAGTTAGAGCGTTGGGCTTCTAGTAGACAGATCGCTGGTACGAGCCCCGATTGATGTAAGTAGCACCAAGCGTTGGGTCTGATTACTTGTTACGGCTGTGATCATGCTTGATCTAGCCGGCCTCAATGATGTCAC